GTTCTAAGGTCGTCCACAACCAAGGATAGAATTCAGAGTCCTTTAGATCACTGAGTGAGCCTGTCGGCCACTAACCAATTGGATCGGAATCAAATAATACGTAAATTTTAGCTCCAGTTAATTTTCAACATAATACCACCCAAAATCCAATAAGTATTCATCTTTCCATCCTTTAAATATACTTACTTTATGATGGAAGCGTGAATTTTTAAACTCTACTATGACTGAAAGTCATTCTCTCAGGAATATCTCGAGAAAAAGATTTATTTTAGGCTTCTGGACAAATGTTTCACTGTATTTATAATTACTATTGATGAAATCACCATTTCAGCAGCAAATCTGAGTTACTGTTCAATAACACATCATATACACACCAGCAGGGTCGGAGAGTTTCATCATGAGCTGACATCAGTTAGAGAGCCTTTGGAAAACATGCCAGGGAGTACTCGACGGCTGTTTCGTCAGCCTAGTTTGAGACTCTTCATCAGTACGCGCCCACCACAGGGGCTCGAGCTCAGGGCCTTCTGGTTACAAGGTTGAAGGTGAGGCAGCAACTCATCGAAGAAGACATTGCGAAGTGGTTGTGCTGTGTCATGAATTGGAAGAAGTTAGAACTCATGGGCTGTTCGATCGAGTCGCAGTGGCTTAATGGTCTACGAGTTCACCGGCCTTGTAACCAGAAGGTCCTGCGTTCGAACACCGGTGGTGGGTGCATGCTACCGAAGAGTCCCAAACTTAGCTGACGAAACAGCTGTCAAGCACTCCAAGGTTTTCCAGTGGCTCTCCAACCGATGTCAACTCATGATGAAATCCTCCAACCAATCAAACAAAATCCCTGCAAAACCAATACTTGAAAATACACCAATAAGCTAAATCACATCAGACAGTACTGATTGCAAAGTCAAAAATATTAATAATCAATAAGAAGAAACGGTTTGTCATTTCACAAAGAAGCATATTCAATACACTATTCATACGGCTGTATTATATTGTAAAGATGAATACAAGCAGACAAATACTCCCACAGATTGTTAAACAAATAACATTAACAGCCAAATATTTAACATACTTTGTGTGATTTTTATTTATTTCTTTGATTATTTTTTTTATAAAAAAACCGCTTTACATGCAGCTAAGTAAATATGATGATGTGAATTAGAGTAGAACAAGTTTCACCTTACTAGAGATATGATAGAATCTCATTGTTACTATTTTATCATTATTATTATTGTTATCCCTATACAGTCTGACGTTGGACACAAATGTTGACAGCATCAGATTCTTGAAATTGACTAGAAGGCGATGGGCCGAATACTTTTAGTAGTCACTTGGAGGGGAGGCGATAATGTTGACCAGTTTCATTTGTCGAGTGCCTATTCCCGGTGCACAATGACAACAAGTCTAAGGGAGTCGCGATTGTAGTACATTTTTTTCACTTCATGTTAAGTGGTTGTAGGCGATCTGTAGGAAGCTCTGAGCCTATGTTTCGTGCTTATCAGTGCTAGTTATACACTAATACAATCCTACAGGAGGTCAATCGTGAACCCCAGTAGCTGAAGGATAACGTCCCTAAATATGCCGATAGGTGACGCAGGTTGAAATGTCTTAAGACTAAGTGTCAAGTTCCTCCAACCATCTAACATTAACGCAATACTTCGTCTATGTACTGTTGAATTAGATTAGAACTGCGGGAGAAAATAAATTCAGTATTCACACTAGGACATAAATTTTCTGAGGATTTATTTGAAGAATTCCAATCAGAAAAACGATAGTTTCTGGTATTTATTTTAAAAATTAACAAATTTTCAACTAGTTGAAGAGATAGAGATAGGAACACTATTGCGTAATTGAAGTCAATTTTGATTCGACTACTAAATGACAGTTTATTCTTCTGTTTGAGGATTAAAACAACACAGGAAGGGTTGGTATAACTGTCCTTTTGTGGAATGATTATTCTTTACCACAAAACTGGATCCCGATCTTTAGATATTAAGGCTGAAATCTTAATTTCAAACAGTATCATCCAGCTTAATAATTCAAATGAACTGTCGTCAAGATTTGACCGAATAGTTCTAAAATATTTGGGCGCCGAGTGTTATGTTAACTTTGATTAATTTCCCTGAAGAAGTTCGGACCAGATTGCCGAACGAAACGTTGGAATTACTTATTTCAATATCGCTGAGATTTTACAAATATAATTTTTTACAAATGTCTACTTCTCATTCGGCGCCCAAATATTTTAGAACTATTTGGTCAAATCTTGACGACAGTTCATTTGAATTATTTTGCTATCGAATTAAATTAACAAAGAAACTATGTAATTGGCACAATCATCGTGTTTTCAGTCTCCGTTGTCTGGAACAAAATGCACATCCTAAATCCGTAGCTGTCGAGTCACCTGACAACCCCAGTAGGTCGAATAAAGCAGCTCAATATTTAGAAAGAAGACAATGCAATAAGTTCGACAGGGTGCTTAAACTAAACTCTAACCCTAAACACCATAATTTTGAAAATACGTCTAATCATAAAATTCTAGATACTAACAGTTTGAACGGACATGAAGGTTTGATGTTAGCTGATGCATAGGAAATCCTGATTAATAAATAAAAATGGATATGTATCACTTATTAATAATACTTGGCCAAATTCCTGACTGTCTATATCTTCCTATGGAGACGTTAAGAAATGTTTTACAACTGCTTACACACACACGCATGCACACTCTGTTTAAAGTATTTAACAAAGGTAGACCAATATTTGTAAATCCGAGGTCAAATTTTGATCACAGCTCATACAATTTTGTTTATTATACTTGTTAATACTTGTGTTTATGAATCATGATTGGACAAAGTTTTTAAAAACAAAAGATGTGCCTTTTATATATAAAACCTCTGTTATGTTAATTTTGATTAATTTCCCTGAAGAAGTTCGGACCAGATTGCCGAACGAAACGTTGGGATTACTTATTTCAATATCGCTGAGATTTTACAAATATAATTTTTTACAAAAGTATCATCCAGCTATCAAAATAAATAGAATAAATTTGAGAGGGACAACTTCTTTCAATTATCTAGGAAGCAGGCATCAATTCAACTACAGGCGACAGTACGGATAAAGATGTCACAGCCAGTCAAGATCGGGAAGGCAAGACAAACATTCATCACTATGAAATCGGTTTGGAAATTGTCTTCACTTAGAATAAACAACAAAATTCGGATTTTCAACACCAGTGTCAACTCAGTTATTCTATATGAGTCAGAAACTTGGCGCGCGCGTCACAAAAAGCATTTTTAACAGGTCACTGCAGACTTATCAACAGCTACCTTTGCTGGCTCCATATTGAAGATAGGATAGTCAGTGTAAAGCACAAGAAACTCTTCAAACGAACCAATCATTGAGGAACCTATCATCCGATATATAATCCGAGGAAAATGGAGATGGATTGGGTATATGCTGAGGAGACCGTCGAATGACATCGCGTGTCAGGCAATACCTTGAGTGGAACGCGAATGAGAGACGACGAGTTTGATGCGAATCCGAGGGAAATATGGAAGAGATGGTGTGAGGAGGAGAAAAGAGACTATGGGTAGTCGTCGGGCCAGCTAGAGACGACCGCAGAAAATAGAATAAAAGGAAAATACGGCTGTTGAAGCCCTGTGTTCCACTCGGAACCTGAGAGAGTAGTAACAATAACATCTAGGTAAATTGAACCTAACTGACTGTAATTCCGATGCTCGGATCGGTGACACACTTAAGTTGAAAAATATCATTTGTTTATCCATTAAATCAAACATGCTCATAATGCTTCCATCATTTCTTGTGTTCAGAGTGGAACATACAGCTTCAAGTTCCTTTGAAGTTTCAGTGGAGATGGTGTTGTTTCCCTTTTTATGAGGTAGGATTACTAGCCTTACTCCTAGAATTTCCTCTTTTCCCGGCTTACTGCTATCTAAGTGAAGTTTAGAGGCATGAATAAGCCTGGAACTGAACCCAAACTTCTCGCGTGATTGGCGATCCGCTGAAGTTCTCTTACTGAGCATCACACCAAGTCGTGACATAGTGAAAAAGAACACAGAAAAAGGGAAGAGGTATTCAACAATACTACTACTGAAAAACATGTGTGAAAAACAAGCAGAGTGAACACATGAAGATTAGTACAAAATATTTAGAGTGTCGAAGATGCGAAAGCATGAATGATTTTGAGTCATCTGAAAAAGGATTTTCAACCGCTGATTCCTAACATCTCAATAATACCAGCCAAACAACGTACACATCTCTAATTAACCGATACCAGGAGTGTCGGTGGCATAGCGGTTAGGACGCTCGCCGACCATGCACATGGTCCGGGGTTCGATCCCCGGCCGGAACACTCCTTTACCTCGCTAAGCCAGAAATAATGCTGGTGAAGAGGAAAGGTTGGGCATGAGGCTAGCAACCCATCCTGTAAAATGAAAACTGCTACAGAAACTTCAAGCCACTGGCTTGAAGCCCTATGTTCCACTGGGGAACGTGAAGGAAAAAAAGAGTTAATGATTGCGAAATTTGATGTTATGAAGCCACTGACATTCACGTCTAGCAAAAATACTTTTTCAGCTTAGCAGTAGAACGATCCCAATTTTGAGTTATGTGCATTACCAACCGCGAACCAGGTTCGATTCTGCGTCAACGGATGCACTCCTGAATCTCTCCTAGCCGCTGTTATACCCATTAAATAGGGAAAGCTGGAAACTGAGGCTAGAAATCCCCTATGGTAAACACAACACCACTGCTATTGAGACTTCAAAGCTCAACGTTGAAGCCTTATGTTCCACTCAGTACTGAAAAGAATCGATTTACGTTGAACTGTGAACTCCTTAGACTTTGTGCACATGCATGTGTGTAACAGACAGATCACCTCAAATTAACACCAATAAAACATAAACAAAATAGATAAGTTATATAATTTGAGCTAAGTAAACTATCAAACTAGCTTACTACATTTGTGTAAAGCAAATCTATGCATTCATTATACACTACATAACTAAATATTCTAACATTCATTTTTTATAGTAGTGTAGTTAAAGTGATGGAAGTGAGATGTATGAAAAAGGTGAACTGTGTTGGAAATATCACTTGCTGTGTATTTCATGATCTTCTCGTAACACTATTCCACCATCATATATATGATCCAGACATGTTCTCTGTGCTTGTAGCAATCCTTCAAACAATACAATAGTATGTAGTGAATAAATGAATACTAATCACTATTGCTTAATAGTTTAATCAAAAAGCACTGGAAAAGGAAATGCATGTAACAGTCCATTGAAATATTCACAGAGTCAGTTCAATAGAGTTTCTTATGGTAGGTGACTGAGAAATAAACAAATTAAAACAAGTTTTTCAGACGACGAGTGAAAACAATTCGAAGTCACAAACCTTGGGCATTTAGTGGACGTCAAGAAGTCTTTTTAAAATGATAAACAGCCACATGGCACATCGATGCTTCAATGGTAGGATGATCATCACCAACTATGCACATGATCTGGGGGTTCGATTCCCGCCCAACGGATGCCTTCCTAAAACTTGCCTAGCCGGCAGTAAGTCTAATGAAGAGGGAGGATCAGGTATGAGGCCAGTAACACCACGGCAAATGGAACTTCACACCTTAAAGCTTAAAGCCATATATCCCACTCGGAAAGCAAAGGAATGAAAAAGAAACATCAACATGGCTTACGTATCTATCTAGGCTAAATACACAACGAAAACAATCACTTATACGCTGAGTACAAGGTATCAGAATGAATTATCATATCTGCATATCTATCTATGAATGGTGACCTATTGGCTGTTATCAGTCAACTTTCAGTCAGTATGTCTGGGGTGGGAATCCTTCTCGATATACACTTCAGGTTAGACAACTGAAGGACTGGTTCATGTATGCAAATAAACTGGAATACTCGCTTCTCGGCTCTCTGAGCTAAGATCATGTGTAGTATCTGCTCTTTGCAGTGTAATTTCTGCAACGGTCTCTAAACTGGGACCAATGAAATTACCTGTATTTTTCCATTACGGACGGGTGCTGTGAGCTTGCTCAACCCCGTCCACGGGTCGGCCTCGTATTGCATTACCTCGAGGATTGGCCCATAAATTTGGTCCACCGAGAGAGTGGGCTCTCGAGTGGTTGCGTCACAGGATGATTATGCATGCCGTTCTCGTCTCGCAACAGGCAGGGATGGGTGTGTTTGGTTCACCTGAAAACCAACACCCAGTCAATGGGTGTTGTGCTTTGGTGGCACAGTGGTTAGGACGCTCGCTGACCATGCTCACGTCCGGGGTTCGATCCCCGACCACCGACGCACTCCTTTATCTCAGTAATAAAAACCTGGTGAAGAGGAAAGGTTGGGCATAAGGCTAGCAACCCCACCCTGTAAAAATAAACACTGCTAAAGAAACTTCAAGCCTCTAGCTTGAAGTCCTATATTCCATTGGGAACGTGAGGGAATTAAAAAAAACTCTAGGTTTACTCTCTCTCTCTCTCTTGCTGCTTCACTCAGCATAGAGTATTTCATTTAGCTATTTTTACCTCCTAATGTTTACTTGACTAACACCTGTACATGCTGAAGCATTAACACTATTCATATAGAAGAATCTGAATTATGTAAACAAAGAAAACATGCCCATGTACACCTCCTACGTTGAACATTATTCTAAACTTCGTTGTGATAAATGATTTGCAGTGATTACTGTCTTTTTCACAATGAGTTTTTCCGGCATTATAAATAATATTAACATCCTTAGCTCAATTACCGTCTTGCTAACTCTGCTCATTTGTCACATAATATGTTTTGATGCCTGTCTCTCTAGGCTATGGTCTCTCCACTAACGCCCAATCCCATAAACCGTTTTTTTGTTTTGTTTTGCATATTAAACAGCCTCTGGTCTAAACTTTCAAATCTTCACACTTTTAGTTACATTTTGATTATTCTGCACTATTCAAAAACATTTTTGATGATGTCAACAATATTCGAAGCCGACATTGTTGTTATTCTTGGCCAACTGAATGTAAACAAACACACACACACACACATAGACGCACGCCCACAAATAAATGCATATAATTACGATTGTACGGTTAAGTTAATGAATTACAGCTGTTGGATTTTCTCCACGAGCCAACATCAGCTAGGAAGATCACTGAAAAGCAGGAAGCATTAGACAGATGTTTTGTCCTATACTTGGACTCTTCATCAATGCGCACCGACCATGCCACCAGGAGTCGAACTTGGGATATATATATTCACCTTCTTTTGAATCGGGTATTTTCACCGTAAAAACTATGCGATCGATTTAGTAATTATCAGGTTAGGTGACTAATACAATACAATTTTAAGAGAAACCTGGTTATTATGATAGTCCACTTACCGTAACGTCTCATATCAATGGGTTGTTGAGCCAAGTGCTGTTCCAAGCGTCGACGAAGACCAAGCTCACCACCAAATTTGCCAGCAGTTCCATTGTCAGCTAACAGGAAATAATTATGATTTGAGTTCAGTGGAGCTTCTTGACGACCAGGTCTCCAACCTTGAGAATAATAGGAACATGTATTCTGGAGAAAGGGGTAAACACAGTTTGAAAAGACAAGGGAATAATTATTTTTAGTAATTTAAAACGTTTTATTATTGATATTTTATTATTATTCCCTTTGGTTCCAAGTGGAACATAGGGCTTCAACAGTATATCTCCACTTTGTCCTATCTTCTGCAATCCTCTTTAGCTGGACCCACGATTTTCCTTAGTGTCTTATCGCCTCAGGGGACTCACTCGTCGTTTTCCACTCTCGTTCCACTCCAGGTATTTCCTGGCACGCAATGTAATTCGACTGTCTCCTCAGCATATACTCAATCTATCCCCAATTCTTGATTGATTAGTTCGTTCCCAGAGTTTCTTGTTGCTAATCCTTTACACTGGCCAGTTGACCTTCAATATGGAGCCAGAAAAGGCAGCTGTTGGTAAGAGTCTACAGTAACCTGTTAGAAATGCTTTTCGTGACACGCGCGTCAAGTTTCTGATCCATATAAAAGAACCGACTGACTTAACAACTGTGTGAAAAATTCCAATTTTGTCCTTTATGCTGGGCGCAGCAGATTTCAAAACTGATTTCGGAGTGATGAATGTTTACCTTGCTTTTCTAGTCGTGACTGGCTTTGTTGTCCTCAAGTATATTAAGCCGAAGAAGTTTAAGTAGCTGGAAAATCCCGGTTAAGTCATTAAAAGGAAAAGATGTTCTGTAAAGAGTTACTGTTTTCAGACATATCATTGCTAGGGTACTGGGTTCGAGCCCCAGTGGGAACACCATCAATGACTGGGAAATGCAGGTACATACAGATAACGAGCGCCAAATTGGACGGAATCCGCATCCTGGATTCCAGTGCTAGTTACAGTCTACCAAATTTCTTCAAACAATCAAGAGACTTTATATTACAGAATACAGGAACCGTCATCAGCTTGATATCACAGTAAAATTAGGCAAGTAAGCTGAGTGACGTAATGTAGCTGTCGAAACTGAGTAGAGTTCAATTAAAGTTGAAAGAAGATCAAGCTAATATCACCATCATAAGCACTAGAGGTGTTTTAATGAGAAAAGAGAGGGGATAATTACGGATAAAATGTTTCGATAAAATAGGTCTGTTGTAAGTCCTGTGACTGAACAAACTTCTGTTTATAGATTCCAGGATTTAGCATATAGTTTCTGAAATTTGAAGATCTCAGCTTGACTTTCGTTTAATTTTAGTTGAGCCCAACTGAGCCTCCTCAAATAAGTTACGTCATTTATTAAATTAGCGAATCCAAATTAATCTGCTACACTTTAATCATCGCGATAATTTCTGACAGATGGAAAGGTATCTGTGAGCCCCAGTATGGTGAATTGGTCGTGTCCAACATTGAGTACAGTGGTACCGTCTCTCTGTACACTTTCGGAAGACCATTTAGACGAGGAAATGCAGAAGTCAGGCGTAGTAGCTGCTAGAACAGTTCGCATTTAATGATCTATTCACTTATCATTTCCTTCAGGATTTGTGTCAGCTTTCCTTCAATTTTTTTTTCAGTTTAGTTTTTATGGATGACTTCTTTTTGAAAACATTTTTCATCTGATATAAAAGATAACGCTTTTTTGGTGTAATCTTGAAGATTCATGAGAGTGATGTCATCACTCTGTTATACAGAAGGATTAGTGCCGGAAGAGAATGATTTTTCTGTGCGTCACATCACTCAGTTTACATACTTAACTTTTTTTAGTCAAATTTTCCTGTATAACGTAATTTTCTTAGGAATCTCTTGGTCGTGATCCGAAACTCAGAAGTTTTATTGAAATCATCAGAAACACACCTTTGGCTGCTAATGACGACGTATAGTGTATATTTGATGGAACATCTTGAGAATGATATCGCTGAGAAATGAACCCATCTTCTTTATGATATAATCTCAATTTTCATAACGGATTAGTGTCATTTAGAGAACTTTCCAAAACCAGAGAACAGTGTGGCGCCGTTTCACCCTACTTTTAGACTCTTAAACGGTACACAATCCTATTGGGGATCGGACACAGGACCTTAGGGTTCGAGGCATTCCCTCTGACAATTCAGCCCATGAATCCTAACTTCTGTTTATGCGCGATATATAGAGCGAACTCCAGCAAGTGTCATTGACGAGTATTTCTCTCCACACCCAACCTGGTGGACTCTACTAGTCACGACTTTTCACTAGGACTCCAGAGAACGTCGTCCACCATGTCGCATTTGAAGACATCTACTCTTCGGTGATACTGGTTAGTGGTGGGACTGTAGTCACAAATTAGTAGAAGTTGGAATTTGTGAGCTATTGGATCACATCCTAGTGGCTGAATGGTATACTAGCTTGACTTGTAAGCAGAAATTCCTGGGTTCGAACCCCGGTGGGTGCGTACTTGTGAAGAGTTCCAAACTAGGACGAAACAGCTGTCTAGCGTTCCATTGTTTTCCAGTAGTTCTCTGACTGATGTCAGCTTCTGATAAGAATTGAAACAAAACAAATCCCTACAAAATAACCTTTGGAGATATAATTTAAACTGAGCATTACACCTAATGAGACAAAAACAAATACTTAGGGAAAGAATATATCAACTGATTCTATTTATAACCTTAAGATGGAGGATAACAAAAAAAAAACAACTGTGGGCGTTGCTGTATAATGAAGGTTTCTATGACATCGTGCTTACTGAACTTTTTGCCGAAATCATGGGGAATACATGTATATTATACATGCTTTCTTCATTTAGTGCTAAACTTTTAGGCGATTTTTAGTTATTTATCAGGTCTAAAAAAAATCCTTTTAAATCATAAACCCTAAATAATCCAGTCACTACAATAAAAGATGCTTTGTAGCAGTTTCACCAAGAGCAATTCAGGTTTGTGATTCTATTTCATGAGGTTCCAGAGTCCACCAATATACATTCATATCTTGTAAGTGCATTGACAAGGTTAATTTCGTTTTGAGGTGGTTAGCTAAGCGCTTTCTGTAATATTATTATTATTGTATCCTTTAATTTCTAGAGGAACATAGGGCTTCAGCCGTGCGTCTCCATTGCGTTCGGTTCTCTGCTAGTGTCTTCACCTGGCTCCAAGTCTCCCCACACGCTTTCATCTCCTCTTCACATGACTTCCTCTGAATCACTCTTGCACTGACGACCAACTCGCCGCTTCCCTTTCGGGTTCCACTCGAGCAATGGCTTGTCTAGTGATGTCACTTGATGGTTTCCCCAGAGTATGGCCAATCCATCTCCATTTCTTCCTGCCTATTTGTTTCACAATCGCTTCCTTCAGGGTTGGTTCTATCCCAGAGATCCCTGTTGCTGATCTTTTCTGGCCGGCCATCTGATCTTGAGTATTGAGCGAAGACAACTGTTAATGAAGGTCTGTAGTTTGTTTGAGATGCTCTTTATGACGCGCTAGCCAAGTCTCTGATCCGTATAGTGAGTAGCACTGACTTCACAATGGAGTTGAAAATCCGGATCTTATCTTCGTTTTGATGCTGAGTGCTGTTGACCTCCACACAGACTTGAGAATAGTGAAAGCTTGTCTTTCTTTTCCGATTCTATCCTCGTCAGTTCCGTCCGCCTGTAGTTGAAACGATGCTTCCAAGGTAGGTAAAAGAGCCAAAATTTACAAAATTGTATTTGTTAAGAAAAGTTTGAGTTGATTTGCAGAGAGTTGAACAGTTTCAAGTATGACAGTGAGCTGACATCGGTGAAAAAACCATTGAAAACTAGGGGTAGACATTTCGTCCTATTTCAATTGAAGGTGAGGCTATGTGTTGGTACTACTGAAGAGTCCCGAACTGGAATGAAACGGCTGTTTGGTACTCTGTGGTTTTTAGTGGTTCTCTAACTGTTGTCGGCTTACGATCCAGCATTGGCTACGAGAAGTGCGGTTGTGAAAGCCAGCTCGATTGAGACGGCTAGGACAGATGTCAAACAAACCATCATTTTCTACGTCCAGCAATGTAAGGGAGATAGGAAAAAGTTAAGGTTGGTTTAATGATATCATGATTTTGGTTGATGAAGTCATTGACTGCTGGTTTGAACAATATGGAAAGGTGTAGACTACCTAATTGGAGCTCTCAAGACTATAAAAACCAATTGTTGATACTACTCAAGTCATTTTAAATGAAGCAGATGCATTCACTCTCTTTGTAATATCCTAGATTTGTTAGATTGTCATTATTTTCTATTCAGTTGTACTTTTTCTTAGACATTCCCGTCTATTATAATTCCACTGAATGCTTTTCCTTACCTTTATATCTGCCTTAATGCAGTTCAGAAACCTGAAAGTTCTACTTTAGTTAGTCAGTCAGTCACTGATGTTCACCACTGAATTATAGTCAGACTGAGGTTACTTTAGAATTGATCTCTTACGGAGAAAAACGCAAATGGTTTTTGGGACACACTTGTAATACAATTAACTAGATTAATTACAGTCATTCTAGGGTTGATGCTCCTGTGGAACTGATTAGATTGGACATTATAAGTGTGTTATTCAGAAACGTGTTGCTGGACACTAACAGCTTTGAATAAAGAAAGAACGAACATATTTGCAGGATAATACGAGCTCGTTTTATTTCGTGGATTCCCTTCAGCTGTGTACGTCCTACATAGATCAACTGTAAGTGACAAAATTTCTGGACGTACTTTTTACAATAATTTTAAATTATGGATAGAAAGTATAAGCAACATAATTTCAAAGATGATGTAAGTAGACAATTACATAGTAATTAAACAAAGGGGTGGAGTTCAGATTTCTCTTGGAAACAAGAATGAACTAGAGACAAAATACAAGGTAGAAAAACAGAGTTAATCTACACATATTATGGTGGAGACTTCAGGAGGGTGGGAGTGAATTATTATTATTATTATTGTTCCCTTGGGTTCCTAGTGGAACATAGGGCTTCAACTACACGTCTCCACTTGCTTCTGTCTTCTGCTGTTCTTTTCACTTGCGTCCATGTTATTCCATACTGTTTCATCTCCTCCTCACACGATCTCCTCCATGTCACCCTTGGACGTCCCACTCG